TTTGCACCATATCTGACGTCATTGTGACATTCATGTCATTTCGACATTATCCAGAACTCTTTATCAGCCACCCGTGGGACAGAATCGAAAATTTTTGTATGGGGCTTGTAAAAAAAATGACATTGACATTTAGAACGTCACAGCGTTATCTGCTATTTAAAATTGGTGGGACAGAAATTTTGTATTTTATCTGACGTGACGTCATATTTACACTATCAGGGCCTCTATCTACCACCGGTGGGACAGGCCCTAAATATAGTATTTAGAAAAACATGTTTTTTTTAAATTTTCTTTTTATTATATTCTCATTTAAATAATTATTTGACATTTTTTTCAAGTAATTGTTTTGTGTTTTTAGAGGTTCAAGTACTGTTGTGAAGATCCGTCAAGCGTTAGACTTTATGAGAAACCAGACATTGGAAGTTCCATTTATTGCGTTCTATCGTAAAGAGTATGTGCAGCCTGAACTAAGCATTAATGACTTGTGGAAGGTGTACAAATATGACGCTAAGGTAAGAAATTCGTTAAAAACACGGTAATTAAAAAAAATTCTTTATCCCCGCGATCTATTATTTTTAACCAAACTAAATAACTTCTCAAGGAAGCTTAAATAGTTTAGAAACCTTTACTATTGAAAAAATATTTAATAGACGTAATTTATTTTTCAGTGGTGCCAGTTAAAGCAACGTAAAGAGAATCTTCTTAAATTATTGGAGAACATGCGTGACTTCCAACTGGACAAGGTGATGGCCAACCCCGACGCCCCCATTCCTGAGAACATGCGCCTCATCAGGGACGAAGACATTGAAAGGTAAATATACATTAGGGTTGTAACGAAGGCGGAGGCGGATGCAGAGGTGGAAGTTCAACAATATTTTAATGTAACAAGTTAATAAGTAAAAGGTATTTGAGAAAAAAAGTGATTTCCATATCTCTCGAATTGTAAATCAATGTATGTAACCTCCGTTATATCTACAAAAAAATACGGAGGCGGATGCGGAGGTACGATTTATTGCGGAAATTCGCCACGTTGCGTTGCAACCATGCACTACATATCTCATAGATTATTTTTTATTTTTTTAATGTAGTTGGATGGTGAAAAAATTGTTTCTAGACCCAGTGAGAAATAACGAAAACTGATTTTGTGTATTAGATCAGTTTTACTTAAGCACTGTCAAATAAAGTATTTATTTATAAATGTTTATATAATCCCAGTTCATTACTTGGAATAGATTAAAAAACGTGCAAACTCCAGAAGAGCTGCGCGACGTCCACACGCACTTCCTGCTCTACTACTCCAACGACCTGCCGGAGATGCAGAAAGTGCAGCGCGCTAAAGAGAGACAGAAGGAACTGGAAGAGAAGAAGTAAGTGATATTTAAGTAACTCCACTTATATTTGTATGTGCATTTTAAGTTGATTTTTATAAAGTTAACTGCATTTTAGTTGTAAATAAGCCAGTACTTAGTGTAGATTAAAGATGATCCTACTAATGTTAAAAGGTCATAACATCTGCAAACCTAATAATTCTACTTCTATTCTTTCTTTTATTCTTTCACAATTATAAAGCTACACTATCAGTAAGTAACATAGGCTGTGTTCACTATTTTTTTTAATTTCACGTAGACGAATTCACAAGCAATAGCTAGTTACCTATAAAATTGGATTTAGTTTTTTGACGGACTTCCCAAAAGAAGGAGGTACTCAATTCGTCTGTATGTTTTTTTTACAATAACAAAATGGTATTGTTTGCAAGGCGAGCAGCTCGTGAAGAAGCCGAGCGGAACGGCGAGGACCCGGAGGAGGCGGCGGCGGCGGCGGAGGCGGCGCTGCCGGAGGAGGCGGCGCCGCAGCACGACATGAAGTACGCCGTGCGCTCCGGCCCGTACGAGCTCTGCAGGAAGGCCGGCATTGGTGTGTACACTTACTGTACTAGATGTAGTGCCCATGTGGTGGTGGAGGTAGAGGCGGAGGTGGAGGCAGTTGTGATTGGGTAGCGGAGGTGAATGTATCTAATAGTATTTACAGTAGTTTAATGATTAAATACTTTTAAATAGTAAAATACCGTTAAGGGGAACTTTAATGACTGTTTAATGTAGGGTAGAAAGATGTTGTTTTCGCGGAGGTGGAGGCGGAGTTGAAGATATTCTTTAAGTCTCTCTTGGATATTGCGAAAATAGTTAAAAACAAAATTTACTTTTGCGCAATTAGTGTTGGTAAAATAGTGTTTTGTTGTGATTAATCAGAGCCGTTGGTGAAGATGTTCGGTCTGACGCCGGAGCAGTTCGCGGAGAACGTGCGCGACAACTACCAGCGGCACGAGGTGGAGCAGCCCGCGGTGCCGCCGCTGGAGGCCGCCGCACCATATGTATGGATATGACAATACATTATTTTACTAAATAGCTATCTATAGTGTTTAATATTTATAATTTAGTTTTAAATAAAGTGTAAAGAAAAGAAAAATAGAATGAAGATGTGAAGGGAATGGTTGGAAAAGGCACTCGATAGTCGAGTTGATTAAGTATAATATGCTATATTTTACCCGCGACGTCTTCCGTGAGAATTTAAAAAAAGTACCCTTTGTGTTCTTTTAGAAAATGTTCTACATTTGTACCAAATTTATCCACCCATTCGGTTATTTAGGCTTTAATATCTTATTAATGTTATAAAGGTGAAAGTTTATGAATGGAGCTAGAGATTTCACCTAAACAGCTGAATGGATCTTGATGAAATTTTGCATTGATGTAGAACATTCTGGAAAAATAAATTGACCGCTAATTAATAGTAGGCAAAAGTTAATTTAGAATGCGAAATAAGGTGTATGTTGCTGCGTCTGTACTTCGTACGTTGTTTGGTTGTTGTTGTTGTGTTTTGTTGCATTGTTGTGCGATGTGTGTTGTGTGTTGTCGCAGTGCGGTGCGAGCGGCTCCGCGGCGGAGGTGGTGCGGCGCGCGGTGTACATGTGCGGGGTGCAGCTGGCGCGCGAGCCGCTGCTGCGCGGCGCGCTGCGGGACGCGCTGCGCGAGCGCGCCACGCTCTCGGTGCGCCCCACGCCGCGCGGACTTAAAGAGATCGATGAGAGTCATGCATGCTATAGGTACATATACCACGGAAAACTAAACATCTATACTATTATAATAAACACTTCTTTGTTGCCTAAGATGTCAGCAATTACAGCATGTTTTTGAATAATTCCTCTTTAAATAAAAATCTACACTTACGTCACGCTTTAGGCTATATATTTTCACACCATTAAAGTTAGGTTAGTAATTGAGTGCTTTTTTTACTTTAAATTAATTGTATTTGTTTTGTGTAAGCTTAAAGTATTTGAAGAAGAAGCCGGTGCGCGACCTGACGGGCGACCAGTTCCTGAAGCTGTCGATGGCGGCGGAGGACCGGCTGCTGGAGGTGAAGATCAGCGAGCAGATCGAGGGCAACACCAGTCCTAGCTACATCGAGGAACTCAAACAGCTCTATCAGAAGGTAACACGAACTTATAAGATATACATAAATTTACTTCATTCTTTAATTGTATATAACATTTAGTTAATACCGTCCATATTATCTTGTCTTAGCAAGCTAGGACAAGATAATATGGACGGCTTACTTCGCTCTCGTGAAATTAAAAAAAAATAAAAAACATAGCCTATATTACTCATAGATAAATTACCTTTCTCACGGTAAGTTTTTTTTTTAATTCGACCTAGTAGTTGTCGAGCTATTTCGATTCATACAAAAATACAAATCTTTCCTCTTTACAATATTACTATAAATTAGTACTTTATAGTCTATGTGAATCAATCATAGTCTGGAAGTTCATGCAGACTATGTTCTACACCTATTGTGCAAGACAATAGATAATAGATTATAGTTAATAGATAACAGTTAATATTGTATAGTTTGTATAGTTCATATAGTTCATATAGTTTGTTTAATGTAAATAGTTTTAATACAGTTCATTTTTTAAAAATAAATCTTTAGGAGGTAAAGCGGCTTAAGCCCCCTACACGTTATTACACCCCCGTAGCGAACATAAGCAGGCGCTCGGGCGGCGTACAGACAGGGGAAAAATCATCTAATAGTTACAGAAGTGTGGAAACAGAAGCTCTACCTCCTACAAGTGAAAATCATCAAGTCTTTTATTTGCAAGTACAACGGCGATAGGTGTGCATCCTGCACACCTATGCTATTTTGTAGGGATTAGGCCGTTTTGGAGATACATCAGGATGGACTGATCCATCCGAGCCGTATTAGTTATAATGGTATGTTATAGTTAATGTGTTGTATTTATGTTTGTATGACTTAGGACGAGTTCGCGGCGACGGTGCAGGCGTGGAACGAGGTGCGCGCGGAGGCGGTGGGCCTGGCGCTCGGCAAGATCGTGCTGCCCGAGCTGCGCCGCGAGCTGCACGCGCTGCTGCTGCAGGAGGCCAAGGAACACGTGCTTAAGTACGTCGCTCACGCGTACGCACGCACACTCACGCACACACACGCACGTACATTCACGCACACGCACACACACGCATTAGCACGCACACACGCACACGCATCTCTTGTATACATTCGGAGAATCTGACGGTATACCACCCTAATAGCTCCACCCGTTATAATGTTTTGTTCGCATTGAGACAACGAGGCTAAATAATAACGAAAAAGACGCTACTTGTGCCTGTAAAGGTCGGTCGGTCTATGGCCAGTTTGCTTTTTATTATTATCGTGTTTTTCCTGCAACTTACAATTACATAATTGGTTATTTGTAAGAGTATGTCCCGCTGCAACAAATAAGGCAATTTTTCTGTAAGTCTGTAAGTTTTCTGTAAGAAACGATTTTGTTAGAAGCAGACCTACACTTTGAAGAAACATTCATCTATAATTAATAAAATGTTATCTTTCTAAATGTATATTGATGAGTAACTAATTCACTATATGTATGTTTTTATAGCGTAATATTTTTTTTTAGGTGTTGCCGACGTCGCCTTTACGATTGGTTAAAGGTGGCCCCATACGAGTCGCGAGTGTCGGATGATGATGACGACGAGTGGGACGCATCCAATGGTAACTTATGCTACCAGTTATAGAAATCTTACTTACTATTATATATGTGAAAGTTTGGATGTTGCAACAAACTCTAACATCTATCCATCAGAAATGTCTGCTGCTAAATGGATCTCGATGAATTTTGTCACAGATGGAGAATATAGTTTGAAACACATATATTATTAACTAAGCGAAATCTAATTGACATTAAATGTCCCCGTAGTTATTTTATTTGTTTATATAGGATCTTAATTGAAAATTAATTTCATATATCATATTAAATACGAAAGTTTATATGGATGGATGTTTGTTAAAGTTTGTAGCCTTAATAGCTAAACGGATTTCGATGAAATTTCGTACTAATGTAAAGATCTGGGAGTTCTTCCATGTATGTTCATACGCTAACTTTTTTTTAATTCAGCGCGGACGGACCCGCGTGCGCAAGCTAGTAATGATAGAAAGAAAAACAAACTAGTATGTCCAATAATACCTGTGCAGGTCTGCGCGTGTTATCGATCGCGTACGTGCCGGACCGCGCGCAGTGCGCGTTCGCGTGCGTGGTGTCCGGCGGCGGCGAGGTGGCGGACCACCTGCGCCTGCCGCACCTCATGTACCGCCGCAACGCGTGGGACGCCGCAGAGCGACAGAACAAGGAGGCTGATATGACTGCGTTACGCAGGTTACTGCTTATTTTATCATTTTTGACGATTTTTTAAAACATTTTTTAGTGGTTGAGCTTGGCCGGCTCGCCCCCCACAATACAACGACCACAGATACAAGGCGTGAAGTGGAAACAATTTCGCGTTTCGTCTGATGAGTGTGGTGCCGGAGGCTTAATTTTAGTCCTTTTCCCTTTCCACCCTTTTCTTAGGAATGGGTGGGAAGGAACAGTGGATTTAGGTGGAGGAGACGCATAGGAAGGGGAAATGTCCTCTTTATGTGCGTCTCCTCCTCCGTCAATTAAATCTAGGCAACGCATCTGAAATTTGCGGATGTTTATAGGTAGCGGTCGCTTTCCATTTCGCTGGATTTGCTACCTTATATTATAAAAATATTACAATGTCAGGTTCATCCTGCGCAAGAAGCCGCACGTGGTGGTGATAGGCGGGGAGTCGCGCGAGGCGCTCAACGTGAAGGCGGACGTGGCGGACTGCGTGCAGCGACTAGTCGACGACGACCAGTTCCCGCGCATTCCCATTGAGATCGCGGATAACCACATCAGCAAGATATACAGCAACAGTATACGCGGCAGGGTCAGTACCAACACTATCTTACTAATATAAATGCGAAAGATGGATGGATGTTAGAATTGTAGCCAAAACTGCTAAACGGATCCTGATGAAATTTGGCATAGATGTAGAAGATTGTCTGGAAGAAAACATAAGCTACTTTTACAAAACTTCACGTGAACGGGTTTCAAAAGCTTTTATTGATCAAAGTTTATTTTCCACAGAACGACTTCAGAGAATATCCCGACATGTTACGTCAAGCTATCTGTCAAGGTCGGCTTCTACAAGACCCGCTAATGGAAATATCTCAGCTTTGTGGACCGGATGAGGAAATTCTATGTCTCAGATATCATCCTCTGCAAGATCAGATCAGCAAAGAAGATCTACTCGAGGGTATTGAACTGGAATTCGTGAATCGAGTGAACGAAGTGGGCGTGGATGTGAACGAGGCGATCTTAACCGGTCGCGGTACGGAGCTGCTGCAGTTCGTCTGCGGCTTGGGGCCGAGGAAGGCTCAAGCGCTGATCAAACTCTTCAAACAAACCAATCAGAAACTCGAGAACAGAACTCAGCTGGTCACAGTATGTCATATGGGTCCGAAAGTCTTCATAAACTGTTCAGGCTTCATCAAAATAGACACGAGCAGTCTCGGAGACAGCACGGAAGCCTACATTGAAGTGTTAGATGGGTCCCGAGTTCACCCGGAAACGTACGAATGGGCTCGTAAAATGGCAGTCGATGCTTTGGAATACGAAGACGAGGATGCGAATCCAGCTGGTGCACTAGAAGAAATTTTGGAAGCACCAGAACGGTTGAAAGACTTGGACCTCGATGCCTTCGCTGAAGAACTGGAGCGGCAAGGGTTCGGCAATAAGAGTATAACGCTGTACGATATACGAGCGGAATTGAACTCTAGGTACAAGGATCTTAGGGTTTCTTATCGTACGCCAACCGCTGAGGAACTGTTTGATATTTTGACAAAAGAGACGCCCGAAACATTCTACGTCGGCAAGATGGTGTTAGCCTCGGTGATTGGTATTTCACACAGGAAGCCGCAGAGGGAGATGCTGGACCAGGCCAACCCTGTCAGGAATGATGAGACTGGTCTATGGGAATGTCCTTTTTGTCATAAAAATGATTTCCCTGAATTATCTGAGGTAAGAATTATACATTTATGTTATTTTTCTACAAATTAGACCTGTTCCTGTGTAGTTTCATCCGCGTGAAATTATTAAAACTTTGTTTTATTGTTTATATTTGTGAAGTTTAAAATTCAAATGCACAAATGACAACGAAGGCCCTTGATATTGGATAATAATTACCTTTACCCTGGCAACCTTGCTTCCTTGATGTCAGCTTCAACTTTATGGTACCCTTACCACATGAAGGCTTTTTTTCAATATACCGCTAAGTTTAATAGCGTGAAAATATAAAGTGTAGGGCTTTTTATTAATGAAAGAAATATTCAAAAATATGCTGTGATTGTTGACATCTTACCCTACGAAGTAGTGTGTGTCTACACTTTATTATTTTAATATAGATATAGATACGCCAATCGATTAACTAGGGGAGGCAGTTACCATTTTAGGGGTCTCTATAGAAGGGAGGAAAGCTGCGTTTGACGCTTGACAAATTACATATTTTAAATACATTAAAATCGTTAGGTGTGGAACCATTTCGACGCGGGCGCGTGTCCCGGGCAGGCGACGGGCGTGCGCATCCGGCTGGACAACGGCGTGTCGGGCTACATACACATCAAGAACCTGTCGGACCGCCACGTCGCAGACCCCACCGAGCGCGTGCGCATCGGGCAGACCGTGCACTGCCGCCTGCTCAAGATCGATGTCGAGCGATTCTCCGTCGACTGCACATCCAAGTCCTCCGACTTGGTCGATAAAAATAATGAATGGAGGTTACATACAACATTATTATACCAATTGAAATACTCTTACTTTGTACTGTTGAGAAATCGGCGCAACACTAAAGTGCATCTGTGAATGTCAATCAAAAGTATTTAGATATTCAAGCGGGAGTCGATACTCAGTATATTACGTTGTTACAATTATTGTCTAATATTAGGGCCTATCCCACACTGGTAGATAAATAGCTCAGATAGCTTAAAAATGTCGTCACTGCCAGATAAGGTAACAAAATTCGATGTTTCCGTGACATATTTTACATGTTGGATTTACAATTTACGATTTGGTGGGACAGGCCCTTAATATTATAAATGCGAAAGTTTAGGTGGATGGATGTCTGGATGTGTGTATATCCAAAACGGCTGAATGGATCTCACTGAAATTTGTTATAGGTGTAAAACATTGTTTGAGAGAACACGCGTTTTTTTTAAATTCCGCATAGAGCTGCGGGCGACAGCTAGTTTTATAAGAGGACACTTATTTTTTTAAAACGATTTTTTTTTATTTTCAAGGCCTTCAAAAGACCCATACTACGACCAGGAGTCTGAAGATAAGGATGTGCGAAAGGACACGGAGGCGAAGCAGACCAAGGAGCGCATGCAGTACGTGAAGCGAGTGATCGTGCACCCCGCCTTCCAGAACATCTCCTTTGCAGAGGCCGAAAAGTTGATGGAGAACATGGCCCAGGGCGAAGTTATCGTACGACCCAGCAGTAAGGTAACATCACCCCCTATATATTTAGTCACTAACAGCTTCTATTTTTGGTCTTAGTTTGTTTTAATACGGACTTCCATTATTGTAGGGCTCCGATCATTTGACAGTCACATGGAAAGTGGCCGAGGGAATCTGTCAACATATCGACGTTAGAGAGGAAGGAAAAGAAAATGCATTCTCACTAGGTGAGTGAAATATGAACTGAAATTGACAATATCATTTTTGACATTATTTTTTAACTATTGACGATGATTTTAGGTCGAAGTCTATGGATACAGGGTTCGGAATTTGAAGATTTAGACGAAATTATAGCTCGCTATGTGACTCCAATGGCGGGACACGCGCGCGACCTCATCTCATACAAGTACTACAAACCGGTGGGCGGAATGAGGGATAAGGCGGAGGAGTGGCTCAAGGAGGAAAAAGCCAAGAACCCTAACAAAATACACTACGTTATTTCTGCTGCCAAAAATCATCCCGGACGATTTCTGCTCTCGTACCTGCCCCGCGCTCGCTGCACGCACGAGTACGTATCGGTGACGCCGGACGGATACAAGTTCCGCCAGAGGATGTTCGATTCTCTCGGGGGGCTGCTGAAGTGGTTCAAGGAACACTTCAGAGATCCCCCGCCGTCCGGCACGCCGGCGCAGCGCACGCCCGCCATGCGCACCCCGCACGGCATGACCTCCATGTACCACACGCCCGCCGCGCACACGCCCGCCTTCCACACGCCCGCGCACACGCCCGGCCCTGCCTACATCAACACGCCCTACACGCCCTCCGCGCAGACGCCCTACATGACGCCCTTCGCGACTACTCCGCGACAGCCCGACTTCCTCACGCCGGCGGTGCCCAGGCACAAGCCCACGCCCGCCGTGCCGATATATTCGGAGCCCTCCGACTGGCAGAAGGCGGCGGAGGACTGGGTGCGGCACAGGACCGGCCGCGACACGCCCTCCACCCCGCGCAGCAGCGAGGGCATGCCCACCCCGCGACACGATATACGCACGCCGCGCCACGACAACCGCACGCCGCGACACGACAATCGCACGCCGCGGCACGACGCGCGTACGCCGCGCCACGAGTCGCGCACCCCGCGCCACGAGTCCCGCTCGCACGGCCACGGGGACAGGCACGGCCATAGTCACGGCCACGGCCACAGCCACGACCATGACCGCGACCGCGACCGCGACCGTGACCGTGACCGCGACCGCGACCGCGGCCACAGCTCCGGCAGGTCGTCGCGATCGCATTCCGTCCGCTCCACCCCGCACACCAACACCTCGCCGCGCTCCATGTCGCTGGGAGATGCCACGCCGCTATACGACGAGAATTAGAACTAAGACTGAACAGTTTTTTTTTTTACCCGAATTTATTTTAGGCCAGACTAAAGATGACCGATGTTGTTAAGTAGCTATTGAAAATGACGCTGATGTTATTCAGACGTCAAATCATGTCCAAATAAACAAAATAAAACTGATAAAAATTTAGCCTTAACGCAGTTTAAAAAAATAGCTATTATTCAATTCTGTGAAAAAATAAACTATGAAGAAATAGTTAAATGATATGATTGTTGATGTTTACGTATTATGTTCAGTACGTAAAATAATTATATAAGGAATGCTATAGTTATAATACCGATGGATATGTATGAAACAAAATAGTATAGTTTTTATATCAATGAAAATTATGGAGTAAAGATATATGAAATTTCATGTCAGTGAGACACAATGTAGATCTATGGGGAAATGACTTAAGTCGTATTTCTATGCAAGAACTGTTAATAAACTGGTACCAGGTCGGTAAGTCCATAATAAAACAGAATTAAAAAAAAATTAAAAAGAAAATAAACTAAAACCATCCTCCATAAGGTCTTGAACCAAACTCATCGAAAGAATTATAAAATGCTTCAAATAAACGGTGATACAGAAATTATTGAGCTTGCTGTGGCTTATGCGTATATCATTTTTACGAATAATTTGTAAACGAATTCCACTTTAAAATACTCGTACAAAAACATACTATCTCACAAATATGTTTTTCTACATATTTGGTCAGTGGACAGTTCTCACCTAAATCGTATGCATGCATTAATTATTTACTAAATACCAGATTAAAATAATACATGGACTATAATCTAATGTTACCATTGTCTTTCAATATAAATAGCCAATTATCTATTACCTGATGCAAATTGTATATTTTAGATCGTTAGATTTTTATAATGAGATAAGCTAACTTTGTTAATGAATATCAATTTGGCAATAATTTATTAATTAGCAAAATGGTGAGTTTAACTCTCGGAACACTTATATTGCTATATCGTTTGTTCTCGTTGAGATAAACAGGGACAGCAATAATATAGTGTTTAGAGGAAATTTCACTCAAATACCTTACTGGTATGTGTTGATGTTCTTTTGCTTTGGAGTACAGGATTTATTTAGATAGCTACATTCAATTATTACAGTCTGTAGGATGACAAGATAATTTATTTAAGCCTTGCGGGAAACAACTCTAATAAAATTATGACAAACTTATTGCATTTTTTTTTGGTGCCGGAGACCTAATTTTAGTCCCTTTCCCTTTCCACCCTTTTCTTAAGAGAAAGGATGGGAAGGAAAAGTGGATTCGGTAAAGGAGACGCATAGGAGGGGTAAATGTCCTTTTAATGTGCGTCTCCTCCGTCAATTAAGGGTAGGGCAACGCATCTGCAATTGCAAATGTCTATGGGCAGCGGTCGCTTTTCATTTCGGTGGATTCAGGAGGCCGCTTGCTCGTTTGCCACCTTATGTTATAAAAAAAAACCTTCTGCTGGAAATGTTTTTGGTATAGTAAGTTTTGACCTCTACAGAGTATACAAAAGTTTGTGCAATATATGGAGAGCTGGCCATCAAATGCAGTGACAATAATTAAAAAGGTAAGCCCGGTTTCCGTATGCGATAAAGGTTAGCGATTGATTGCTGAGGAAGAATTTTTTATTAGCTCTTACTGTTGTAAAATGCTTAAGGAAAAAAACAATGTCGAACTAAGATTCTGCTTTTATGAAGTCGGTTAATAAAATGGATCATAAGAAGTACTCTTTAACAGTTTATTAAACTATCTTTTTTTAACGTTATTATTTTCGGGTTGTCTAAAACATTACTGTACTGAGTACATAACATAGAATATATTAAAACGCTGAATTCTCTTAATATAAAAATCGGTTTTCTTTTCCGATAGTTTGCGACTTGCCTAAGCTACGCGTCGATACAGATGGTCGCGGGCCTTGATCTTGAATCTTGATATTGTTAAATAAAATTACATAAAGCTTTTTATTACTTTTTACTTATTTACGATTAAATTATATTGATTTTTAGCTGTTGTGGATACAAATTATGAATTTAATTTGCATATTTAGTGCTTGCTTGTTTTTTACCCATTAGGACTTATACCATTTTTTTCTATTTATATTTTATATTTATAACGGTGTAGTTTTAGGCGCCTCGCGGCTCTTTGAAATATGTGCTTATTTTATGTCTAGCGAATACCTAGGAATTATTAAATTCTAATATGTATTAAGACATGTATGGAACGTGTTCAGAAATGTAATTAAAAAATCGAAATTACACAAAAGTTAATAGTAATGATTTTAAAGGACTTATCCATGTTTTGTAATAAATATTTTCTTACAAACCTATTGTATTTACAAACAATACAAAGTTACACAATACCTGCTCAGTGTCATTTGAAGGATCTGTTATCTTTATTGGTAAAGTGCTGGTTTAGTTAACAGCTTCCTGCCTTTTCAAATTGACGGCGGATTGAAAACTACAAACACTCCCGTGCGAAGTCAAACCGTCATTTGAATTGCATCTGACAAACATATTGAAAAAACTTGGTTAAATTATCCCTTATAGAGAAAACATGTGATAAAAAACTTATACTCTATTGTCAGAGATAATCCCTTTTAATATCAAGTAGTTAAATTATATCCAAAGTTTGTAGAAGGAAATACCTTTCTCTGTTAATCACTGTTGTGAGGTGTTAGGTTAAATCATTTGCAAATATGGTATTGTTAACATTACACTCGTGCTTAAATAGCGATAATCTTCATCAGACACGTGAGTGCAGTTTTCAGACGCCGTAGTAATGTTCAGTCAGTCGACATAAACAGCGATACGCGCGTGTTAGAATCGTACTCAGATTCAATAAGTAAATGCTACAACTACAGTAATTTAGAGAGTCAAACATCTAATTTAGTTTCAAGAATCAT